AGGGACCCAGGTTTGATTCCACCCTCGGGCGACTATCTGTGTGGAGTTTGCACATTCTCCCTGGATCTGCATGGGTTTCCTCTGGGTGTTCCAGTTTCCTCCCACAGTCCAAAGAAGTTTACACTAGGTGAATTGGCATGCTAAATTCCCTGTAGTGTTCAGGGATGTGTCGCTTAGGTGGATTACAGGGGTATGGGTCTGGGTGGGATGTTCTGACGGTCAATGTGGACTTGTTGAGCCGAAGGGCCTGTTTCCATATTGTAGGGATTCTATGATTCATATCTCTGCCAATTTGATTTAAAAAAAAGAAACTGCATTTATTTCAATGCAAGAGGCCTAACAGGAAAGGCAAATGAACTCAGCACATGGTTGGGAATGTGGGACTGCGATATAGCAAATTACAGAAATGTGGCTCAGGGATGGACAGGACTAGCAGCTTAATGTCCCAGGGTATAGATGCTATAGGAAGGATAGAAGGAGGGGCAAGAGAGGAGGGGAAGTAGTGTTTTTGATTATGGATAACATTATGGCTGTACGTAGGGAGGATATTCCTGGGAGTATGTCCAAGGAAGCTTATTTGGGTGGAACTGAGAAATAAGAAAGGGATGATCATCTTATTGGGATTGTACTATATTACCTCCCCCCACCAATAGTCAGCGGGAAATTGAGAAATAAATTTGTAAGGAGATCTCAGTTATCTGTATGAATAATAGGGTAGTAATGGTAGGGAATTTTAACTTTCCAAACATAGACTGGGACTACCATAGCGTTAAGGGCTCGGATGGAGAGGAATTTGTTAAGTATGTACAATAAGGTTTTCTGATTCAGTATATGAATGCACCCACTAGAGAAGGTGTAAAACTTGACCTACTCTTGGGAAATAAGGCAGAGCAGGTGACTGAGGTGTCAGTGGGGGAGCACTTTGGGGCCAGTGACCATAATTCTGTTAGTTTTAAAATAGTAATGGAAAATGATAGATCGGGTTTAAAAGTTAAAGTTCTTAATTGGAGGAAGGCCAATTTTGACGGTATTTGGCAAGAAATTTCAAAAGTTGATTGGGTGTTTGCAGGTAAAGGGACAGCTGGAAAACGAGAAGCCTTCAAAAATGAGATAACCAGAGTCCAAGGACAGTGTGTTTTTGAGGTTTTAGTCAAGAAAAATAAGCAAGCATATGTCATGCATAGACAGCAGAGATGAAGTACAAAGGCAGTAGCAGAATACTTGAGGGAAATCAGGAGGGCAGAGGAGGTGGTGCTGGATGTCTTAAAAACGCATAAAGGTGGGGAAATAGATAGCGACATTTTGAAAAATGTTCATAAAGAGGAGGAGATGCTGTATGTTTTAAAATGCATACAGGTGGATAAAAGCCTGGGACCTGATCAGGTGTACCCTAGAACTCTGTGGGAATCTAGGGAAATGATTGCTGGGCCCCTTGCTGAGATACCTGTATCATTGATAGCCACAGGTGAGGTGCCAGACGACTGGAGGTTGACTGGTGCCAGTATTTAAGAAAAGTGGTAAGGAAAAGCCAGGGGACTATAGACCAGTGAGCCTGACATCAGTGGTGGGCCAGTTGTTGGAGGGAATCCTGAAGGGACGGAATTTACATGTATTTGGAAAGGCAATGACAGATTAGGGATAGTCAACGTGGCTTTGTGTGAGGGTAATTGTGTCTTATTAACTTGATTAAGAGGATTGATGAGGGCACAGCAGTGGACGTGGTCTACATGGACTTTAGTAAGGTGTTCAACAAGGTTCCTCATGATAGCCTGGTTAGCAAGGTTAGATCACATGGGATACTGGGAGAACTAGCCATTTGGATACTGAACTGGCTGGGAGGTGAAAGTAGAGGGTGGTGGTGGAGGGTTGCTTTACAGACTGGAGGCCTGTGACCAGTGGTGTGCCACAAGGATCGGTGCTGGGGGGTCCACTACTTTTCATCATTTATATAAATGATTTGGATGTGAACATAGGAGGTATAGTTAGTAGGTTTGCAGATGACACCAAAATTGGAGGTATAGTGGACAGTGAGGAAGAGTACCTCAGAGTACAAAGGGATCTTGATTAGATGGGCCAATGGGCTGAGGAGTGGCAGATGGAGTTTAATTTAGATAAATGTGAGGCACTGCATTTTGGAAAGGCAAATCAGGGCAGGAATTATACGCTTATTGGTAAGGTCCTTGGGAGTGTTGCTGAACAAAGAGACATTGGAGTGCAGGTTCATAGTTCCTTGAAAGTGGAGTCGCAAGTAGACACGATAGTGGAGAAGGTGTTTGGTATGCTTGCCTTTATTGGACAGTGCATTGAGTATAGGAGTTGGAGGTCGTGTTGTGGCTGTACAGTACATTAGTTAGACCGCTTTTGGAATACTGTGTGCAATTTTGGTCACCCTGCTATGGGAAGGATGTTGTGAAAGTTGAAACGGTTCAGAAAAGAATTACAAGGATTTTGCCAGGGTTGGCGGGTTTAAGCTATAGGATGAGGCTATAGAGGTTTTAGAGGCTTATAAAATCATGAGGGGCATGCATATGGTAAATAGACAGGTGGGGGAGTCAAAAACTAGAGGGGCATAGGTTTAAGGTGCAAGGGAAAAGATTTAAAAGGGACCTAAGGGGTGTCTTTTTCACGCAGAGGATGGTGCGTGTATGGAATGAGCTGCCAGAGGAATTGGCAGAGGCTGGTACATCTTAAAATGCATAGAGGTGGATAAATGTACCCTAGAACTCCGTGGGAAGCTAGGGAAGGGATTGCGGGGCCCCTTGCTGAGATATTTTGTGTCATCAATAGCCACAGGTGATGTGCCAGAAGTCTGGAGGATGGCTAACATGGTACACTAATTAAGAAAGGTGGTAAAGAAAAGCCAAGGGACTATAGACCAATGGGTACACGAATAGGATGGGTTTAGAGGGATATGGGTCAAATGCTGGCAAATGGGACTAGATTAATTTAGGGTATCTGGTCGGCATGGATGAGTTGGACCGAACGTTCAGTTTCCGTGCTGTACATCCCTATGGCTCTGAGTCCTTTACAAAATGCACCTCACATTTATCTAAATTAAACTCCATCTGCCGTTCATTGGCCCATCTGATCAAGGTCCCGTCGTACTCTGAGGTAACCTTCTTCACTGTCCACTGCACTTCCAATTTTGGTGTCATCAGTAAAGTACTAACCATACCTCCTACGTTCACATCCAAATCATTCACATAAATGATGAAAAGCAGTGGACTCAGCACCAATCCTTGTGGTGCACCGCTGGTCTCAGGCCTCCAGTCTGAAAAGCAATCCTCCAACACCACCCTCTGTCTTTACCTTTGAGCAAGTTGTTTCTCTTGCATTGCATTTGCTATTTTAAAGCTGTCCCCTTTCAATTTCAATCCAATTACTAGTGGGCACAATTTCTCCTTATCTGCTCTGTTCAGAGCTCTCTTGATTTTGAAAATCTCTATCAGATATCCTCTCGGCCTTCTCTCTAAGGAGAACAGTCCCAACCTCTCCAATCTATCCTTTTAACTGAAGGTTCTCATATTTTAGTAGTAATGCTTACTCAGTCCTCCTGATGAGTTTATTCCTTGCTGGGATGCACTTCCACAGGTATTAGCATTTTGTCCAAATGCCTGCTAATTCTTGGTTGGCAGATTACTCAAATGGGGGTAGTATGGATCCCAATTCTGCATTGGTGATCAAGGAGGAGTGGAGGATATGGCTAGCATTTCACTCTCTAACCTCTCACTAACTGTGTTCAGCTTCCTCTGTGCTTTTCCCCTGCCTTCTCTGTAACCTGTTCCAACCCTGTTATGCTCTTCTCTCATCTGTCATTGGTGGCTGTGCCCTCAGCTGCCTGGGCCTTTGGCTCTGAAATTCCTCCACTCTACGCCTCACTCTTATGAACGCTTCCTTAAGACCTGCCTCATTGGCTGAGGGTTTGTTCATCTGTCCCAACATCTCATCAAATGGCTAGGCAGCGACTTACATCCAGTCACAATCCTGGAAGGTACCTTGGGCTATCTTGCGTTAAGGGTGGAGACTTTCATGAAGATTCTTAAGAAATTGCCCATAGTGTCCAGGGATGTGCAGGCTTAATAGGTTAGCCACGGGAAATGCAAGGTTACAGAGATAGGATAGGGGAGTGGATCAATGTGGGATGCTCTTCGGAGGGTCTGTGTGGACTCAACGGGCCAAATGGCCTGTTTCCGCACTGTGTGGATTCTATGTCTGTGACATGGTTTGCAGCACTTTACAATCAAGTTTTGAGACTGTGATGGTTGCTCAACAGTGGTCCAGATGCAAGAATTAGGTATGAGGTCTGTGCAAAAGAATGAATGTCTTATGTACAGAATAACTCAGAGCAGATGTGGTGATTATTATGTGTGTGACACTGCAGAGCATGAGGTAGAAGACAAAATGCAGTATCACAAATTCAAGTGCTTCTGAGGTCAGTGGTTGGCCTACTTTTGTCTTCAGTGCCTACAGATCGTTTGGATTCTAGAACAATCCCAAAACTTTTGGAAAGTTCACAAATCATGGCAAGACTTTAGGAAGGTAGATACATGGTTTCAAATATGGAATTTGAAAATGATAGTTCTGAGCAGGACTTGTAAAACTGGGGTATTTCTCTTAGCAGAGAAAGCCATGAGGAGAATGATTTGAGGATTTTGAAAGGGTGAATCGGGCCCTGGCTGGAATTTGAAATGCGTACTAAGAGAACAAAGATCAGCGTTAGGGTCAGAGAAGTTTCTTCGCGCAGTGTTTTATCTTGAGATGTACATTGCCAACAGCCAGAGCAAACTCCTTCAGAGATTGAAGGCCTGTAGTATATGAGATAGTGTTATAATTTGGAAAAACTAAATTAAATCTGACCTGTTGGCTGACTATTGTTCTAAGGAAATACATTTTCAACAGGAATGTGTTAGAAGTTTTATGGAGCTCAATGCATGTAAGTAGACAAATAAGATTATCAAAAAAAAGTACAATGACCTTTCACCTCTACTTTATCAATTTAGTTACATATTGTCCACTATAACTCTGAGAAGTACAATGATATTTCCATAGCACAAGACAAGGTCGATGGACTGGCTGTTCTGGGAATTCTAATTGAGGTACTTACTTGAAGCACTCAAAATATTCATTCATAAGTTAGACCTGTAATGATGACAGCTCTCCAAATGAACATCTTTTCTCTGGTTCAGGTTGGATCCTTCAATGCTGCTTATGAACAGATATTTTCTCATTTAACAGAAATCCAGTTTAAAGGTAAGAAGGATTAAGATCCGATAAGCTGGAATCTCGTACGATAATGCCTGGTTTACTTTTCACTGAGCAAAATAACATGAAGGTGCATACAATCTTGAAGATGGCCAGAATGTTCACCAGACTGATTCCTGGAATGGCAGGTCTGCCAAATAAGGAGAGATTGGGTCTGCTGGTTTAGAAAAATGAGAGGGAATCTGATCAAAATTTGAGGACTTCTGACAGAACTGCGTAGGTTGGATGCAGGGGTGACGTTTTCTCTGAATGTCCAGAATAAAAGGCCACAGCCTTAGGACATGTAGAAAGCTATTTCAGATTGAGCTGAGAAATGTCTTCACTGAGGTGGGTGAACTGTACCACTAAGATTGTGGTGGACAAGTCATTGCATGTGTTTATGAAAGAAATAGATTTGTGGAGGTTAAAGGTGTCAGGTATAGGGAGAGAGTGGGAGTATGGTATTGAGGTAGAGGATCAACCATGATCATGATGAATGACAGAGTGAGCATGATGGGCAGAATGGCCACACCTCCTATTTTCTGTTTCTGTATTTTCCAAGATAAGTTACAAAGACAAACGAGGCACCAAACAGGAGTTTGGGAGCTGGCAGAAAAACGGGTGAAGAGAAGAATTTTGAGGATGAGTTTGGTGTGGAATTCCTGAAAGCAAGGATATGGTGAGGAAAAGCAAGTTTACTTGTTACAAAGTGTAGGATTGGAAAAATGGAGAGTGAGATGGTATTTAGACCTAGAGAATGTCATTGAGCAAGTTAGCTGAGATCATGAAGTGGTTGACTCTATAGGTGAAGCATTTGAAATCAATCTGCTGAGAAATGGGAATAAATGGTGAGCAGGTTGTGGAGAATATGGTTGGTACAAGCTGGTGTTTGGAAAGAAGTGAGGGAAAGGGCCAGAGCATTCCAAGGTGGGTTTTTAAAGAGGAGGTGGATGATAACAAGAAGTAGGTAATGCCAATTATCTGAAAACATGCAAAGTTCAATATTTCATCTGACATCACCCAACTCTCCCTCTGCAGCAGTTTCCTCAACCACTTTGCTGTTTGTCACACTGCTTGTCTAAATCCAATATGGATGAACCAAATTTCTCCAATTATGCTTTGGCAAGAGCAAAATATGCCTCTTCATCCCCCATTGCAGACTCCTTTCCTGAGCCACTGAGTCCTTCCCCCTCCTTTGGCCACTGACTGGACTATTCAAAACTTCATCATTCAATGGACTCGGAGCTTCATTGTCAATTCAAGAATCTTCTGCATCATTGCAACTGGTTACTTACAATATTGTTCGCTTGCTCCCGACCAGCAACATCCCATCTGTTCCTGAAATTACCTCTCCATACTTTTTGACCAATGCAGTGTTCTTCCAGCTGGTATCCCACATGCATTCTCTGGGCATCAAGAACTGTGCTATCTTTGTCTTCACTGGTACCAAGTGCAGTTATCTCATTACTAACTGCACTCGCTAAGTTATATTAGTCCACAATGCTTGAATTTTAAACATTTATCGTTTCACGTTCAAACCTCTGTCTATTTCTGCAACCTTCTCCAGTCCTGGTAGCCCTTCAACTCTGAGCTCTTGTCTATCTCCACCCCTGCCCACATTCCACACACCTCCCCCCCCCCCCCCCCCAGACCCCCACCCTCAATAATTCAGTTCAATAGTGAAAAAATTCTGCACTGTTGGAGGTGCCAGCTTTCAAATGGAACCGTGGCATTGCCTGCCATCTCGGGTGAGGATCAGAGATCCTGCGATACTATTCTGCAGAATGAGAAGGGGAGTTCTCCCTGGTGTCCACTAACATCACAAACATTGTTTTGTAGTTATCTCATTCCTCTCTGTGGGAGCTTGCTGTGATCAAGTTGCCTGCCATATTTTTCTGCTGCTAAATTATGTTATGGTCAAGTTAGAGATCAGTAATTTTTTGTTAAAAATTTGACCCAGTTTTCATTTCCAAGATACTTACTGCTGAAATAAATCTACAAGATATGTATAGATTTTGGGTGTTTAGAGTAGGTGGTAAATATGAGTGAACAGAGAAACTGATCAAGCACTGATCACTCACTAAAGACTGACTGCTCACTAAAGAGCAAATACAGTTAAGACAGAGCCACCAGATTTCCCAGCAACCCATCCAAACTTTAAGGACATTGTGGGTCACCAACTCTCATTAAAACGTTGACTGCTGTACAGGGGATTCCAATCCTTCACTTCCAAAGAGGCATGGAACTTTTTCAGAAACTATTTCATCATTGACCACCTCAATCACTGCTCATATCCTGGTAGTTCAGTCTCTTCCTCTGAGACTGCATTCCACTGAAGGCTGCTGCTCAGCTCCTATTCACAGACATAGTTCCAGCTCCTTCACAAATAACCAGCTTCACTAAGAAGGCACTATTCTGGTGTTTCTCTGAGCTCTCATATTTCTCAGCTTTGATAAGCAGATGTTGCTTGCAGGCTTCCTTCAGTCCAACTATCAGGTGTACAACCAATCAATGGCTCCCAGGGCTTCTTCTGAACTCTAGCTCCTTCCAACACTGAGCTGGTGACCTTCCAAAGCTCTCTTGGCTTTGTAGGGTTACTCCTAAACCTTGACTGACTGGAGCTAACAATATCTCCTCTGCTGCCTGGAGATGGCAAGAACTACATTCACTGGAGGCAGAGACAACACAGTGTGAAGCTGGAGGAACATAGCAGGCCAGGCAGCATCAAAGGAGCAGGAAAGTTGACATTTCAGGTCGGGACACTTCTTCAGAAATGAGGGTGGGGGTGGGGAGAGCTGGGAACTAAATTGAGGGAGATGGGATGGAGCTGGGGAAAGATAGGTGGGATGGTGATAGGTGGACGTAAATAGGGAGTGGTGGGGATTGGTCAGTGTGATGGTTGGGGTGGTTGGTGAGAGAGAAGATGAGCAGGTTGTGTCAGGTAAAGGATGGGTGGAGCTGGGAAATGTAGGTGGGGTGGTGACAGGTGGATGCGGGTATGGGGTAGTGGAGATTGGTTGGTGGAAACGGTAACCTCTTCCAAGGATGCCCACCTTGAAGATGTTATCCTCCTCCCTCTGGAAAGACCTCAGTGGATCTCTATCCCACTGCAATCCACTGGTAATCTCCTGGTGGAACATCTGCTCTCTGTATGCGATAATCAACAACACTTTCTGGTTGCCAACCATTTTAACATCCCCTCCCACTCCCTTGATGACACGTCCATCCTGTACCTCCTCCAGTGCCACAATGACACCACACGCAAACTGGAGAAGCAACACCTCATATTCCACCTCAGGAGCCTACAGCCTGATGGCCTTAACATAGAATTCACCTGTTTTAAAATCTCCCCACCTCCAGGCTCATCCCATGTCCAACCCTCCCTCTCATCCCTGCCTCCTTGACCTGACACAACCTGTCCATCTTCTCTCCTAGCTATCGGCCCCATCCATCCTACTGACCAATCCCCAGCACTCCCTACCTGCGCTCACCTATCACCATCCCACCTACCTTCCCAGTCCTACCTCTCCCCCTCACTATTTATTTCCCCAGCTCCTTTCCCCCTCCCCATTTCTGAAGAAGGGTCCCGACCCAAAACATGAACTTTCCTGTTGCTCTGATGCTGCCTGGCCTGCTGTGTTCCTCCAACTCCACGCTGTGTTGCCTCTACTGCCCGGAGTCTCTTTTCCCCCTGTTTCTAAGTATCCAGTGGAGGAGCAGCTCGACAGTAGTGACCTTCTGTTTTGACCAACTCTGACTAACTCTCCTAGGTCCTGTGGTCTTGGTCTTGTTATCACATCTGTCTCCCCACACAGGCATATTTACTGTCATTAAAATGTCTGGGTTCTACAGCTATGAAAAAATGACTTGAATAAAGAATGTGTCGTCCATGCTGCTTGTGTTCCTGTACTTTGAGGGTTAGGTTCTGGGAATTGGAGCTCTCAACCTCATGACAATGCCAAAACACTCAGTGTAGCCTTCCCAAAAAGGGAATTTGTATTTCTTTACATAATGATTACATCTGATTTTGTGTGAAGAGCTTTGGGACAATGTGAAAATGTGAAAGATGCTGCAGAAATGTATTGATTTCTCCTATTTATTTCAGCATTTCAGTCGAGATTTGAACATGATGTACCATGGTTAATCATTTTGTTGCTGTTTCTGAGGTATCGCAGCTCTGGGTTTCTAATGCTTTACTGTGGGAGTGGGACCTGTCAGGGTTCCTCTCAGTGCCTGGTGTTGTAGTCTGTTAAAGCACTTTCCAAAAAGGCATGATCCATGTGTAGTATTTACTAGCCAGCAGTCTCTGAGCGGGTTTCACTGTATTTTTACAGGTAAAGAGATCAAGATCCCTGGTTTTAATATTAATGATCTTCTCCCTCGGGAACTGGATGAATACTTTCGTTATAATGGATCCTTGACCACCCCTCCATGTTACCCCAGTGTGATGTGGACAGTTTTCAGGAAACCTGTGCAAATTTCTAGCGAGCAGGTAGGTACAAAGAACTTCCGTGAAACAAGGGAATCTGTTTTTTCCATCATGTTTGTATTTGTTCCACTTATCTCTTGCACCTCCAATATGAGAGTTCACTTGCGCAGGCCAGTTCTTGTACCCTTCTTTCCTGAGCTTGCCCAGGAAGTAACCAATGCCAGCATGTGAGCAACAGGTTAATGTAACAGCAATGATACCAACTGGTCTTGCCCCTCATCCCACCATCAAAGCCTGTTCCCTAGAGTCAGACCAAACCCTTGTATCTATAAGAATGAACCCTCTGATTACTTCTGATGGATTTTGTAATCTAAAATACATAGAAAATAAGGGCAGCAGTAGGCCACCTCCACGCTTCAAGCCTGCTACACCATCCAATATGATGACTGTTCATCCAACTCAATGCCTGTTTCCACTTTCTCCCCCTTGCCATTTTATCCCTTTATCCCTGAGAACTGTATCTCACTCCTATTGAAAACACTTAATGTTTTGGCCTCAACTGCTTTCTGTGGCAGAAAATTCCACAGAGTCACTACCCTCTGCATGAAGAAATGTCTCCTCGTCTCAATCCCAAAATGACCTACCCCATACCCTTAGCCTGTGACCCCTTGTCCTGGGTATTTGGTCATCGGGAACGTTTTTCCTGTGGCTGCCCTGCCTATTCCTGTTTGAATTTCATAGGTTTCCCTGAGATGCCCCTGATTCCTCTAAACTCCAGTGAATATAGTCCTAACCGATCTGGTCTCTCTTTATGACGCCATCTGTTAGGCCTGCCGTCCCAGGAATCAATCTGGTAGATCCATAGCCAGAACATTCATCCTCAGGTAAGGAGATCAAACACAGTACTCCAGGTATGGTCTCACCAAGGCCCCTGTACAATTGCAGCAGGGTATCCCTAGTCTTATACTTGAATCCTCTCACTATCTTCTCAGGTGGCACAGTAGTTGTGGACCCAGGTTCGATTCCAGCCTTGGGCAACTGTCAGTATAGAATTTATACTTTCTCCCCGTGTTTGCGTGGATTTCCTCTAGGTGCTCCGGTTTCATCCAAAGTCCAAAGATGTTCAGGTAATGTGGATTAACCATGCTAAATTGCCTCGTAGTGTCCAGGGATGTGCTGGCTAGCTGGATTAGCTAGATAAAATCCCATGTGCGGTTTATTGGAGGGGGACTGGGTGGGGGGAAGTTTGGGTGGGATGCACTTTGGAGGGTCAGTGAAACTCAATGAGCTGAATGGCCTCTTTGAAGAGTCCGTCTTGGGATTCTATGAACGCCGTCATAACATCAGCTTCCTTTGGCACCTGCGTGCTTACTTTTATCAACTGTTGTACAAGGAAACCCGGTCTCATTGTACTTTTCCCTGTATCAATTAATTGATTTGATTGATTTGGTTTATTATCATGTGCACCTAAGTACAGCAAAAAGTTTAGCTTGCAAGCAGTACAGGCAAATCATAGCAAACAAGGACATAGAGATCATAGAGTGCTTGTACAGAGTGAGGCATACAGGTTACACCACACAGGAGGTGTACGAGGCAAAATCAACATGAACAAGATCAACATTATTTGAAATTAGTGAGTTCATTCATCAGTCTAATAACAGCAGAGAAAAAGCTGTTCCTGAGCCTGTTGGTACATGTGTTCAAGCTTTTGTATCTTATGCCTGACGGAAGAGGATGTGGGAGAGCATCACCGGAGTGGGAGGAGTCATTGATGTTGGCAGCCTTTCCATGGCAACAGGAAGTGTAAATGGAGTCCATAGATGGAAGGTTGGCTTCCATGATGGCCTGGGCTGTGCACACAACCTTCTGTATTTCTTATGGTTCCAGGCAGACCAGTTGCCGTACTAAGCTGTTATGCACCCGGACAATGTGCTTTCATTGGTGCATTTGTAGAAGTTGGTGAGGGACCTTATGGACATGCCAAATTTCCTGAGCTGCCTGAGGAAGAAGAGATGTTGTGCCTTCTTGACTGTTGCATCTATGTGGAAATCCAGGACAGGTGGTCAGTTATCATCACTCCTTGAACTTAGTCCTCTTGACCTTCTCAACCTCCGTTCTGTTGGTGTAGATGGAGGTATGTTCCCGTCCTTTCTTTCTGAAGTCAGTGATCAATTCTTTTGTTTTGTTGATGTTGAAACAGAGATTGTTATTGTTGCACCATGACACCAACTCCTCTATCTCCTTCCTGTATTTTGACTCATTGTTGTTTGATATCTGTCCTACCATCGTGGTGTCATCAGCAAACCTATAGATAACATTCTTTTGGAATTTAGCTACACAGTCATGGGTGTAGGGGGAGAATAGTAGGGGGCTGAGAACACATCCTTGCAGGGCTCTAGTGTTGAGGATTATCATGGAGGAGGTGCAGTTGTCTATCTTTGCTGATTGCAATCTATAGGCCAGAAAGCTAAGGATCCAGTAGCAGAGCGTGGAGCCAAGACCTCGGTCTTGGAGTTTTGAGATCAGTCTGGAGGGGATAATGGTGTTGAAGGCCGAACTGTAGTCGATAAGTAGGTGTCCTTGTTGCCCAGATATTCCAGGAATGAGTGCAGGGCTAGGAAATGGCATCTGCTGTGGACCTGTTACCTTGGTAGGCAAATTGCAAGGGGTTGAGGCAGGCTGGGAGGCTCAAGTTGATGTGGGCCATGACCAGCGTCTCAAAGCACTTAATGATTATGAAGGTCAGAGCCACAGGCCCGTTGCATGTGCTTTCTTTGATACCAGGCTGATGGTGGTCTTCTTGAAGCAGGTGGGGACTTTGGCTTGTAGGAGGAAGAAGTTGAAGATGTCATAGAATACATCCGCCAGTTGATCCGCACAGGATCTGAGTGCATGGCCGGGGTCTCTGTCTGTACCTGTCGCTTTCATGGGTTGACCCTCAGGAAGACCGACCTGACGTCTGCAGCAGTGACAGAGGGAACAGGTGTGTCTGGGGCTATCTGGACAGGTGACACCACACCGCTGGCATTCTGCTTGACCTGAGCATAGAAAGCATGGAGTGCATCAGGGAGGGACGTGTTTTTGTCCTCTATCTTGCTTTGCTTCATTTTGTATCCCGTTACATTGTTTGGACATTGCCACAGGCAGCGGGAGTCTGCATGGTTGGTTTGGGCCTCTAACTTGGTCTGGTACTGCCTCTTGGCATCTCTGATGGCATTGTGAAGGTCATACCTGGATTTTCTGTACAGTTCTGGGATGTCCAACTTGAATGCTACACGCTTGGTCTTCAGTAGGCAGTGGATTTCCCGGTTTATCCAAGTTTCCCAGTTGGGGAATATCTGAATTGACTTCTTTGGCACGCAGTCCTCCACACATTTGCTAATGAAGTCCATGACTGTGGCAGCATACTCATCTAGGCCTCTCGCTGAGTACTTGAATACAGACCAGTCCACCAATTCCAAGCACATTCAGCCATTCAGATAATATGTCTTCCTGCTTTGGCTACCAAAGTGGATAATCTCACATTTATCCACATTATACTTCATTAGCCAAGCATTTGTCCATTCACTCAACTTGTCCAAATCACAATGAAACATCTCTGCATCCTCCTCAGTTCACTCTCCCAACTAGCTTTGTATCATCTGCAAATTTGGAGATATTGCATTTTGTTCCCTTCTCTAAAATCATTAATAAAGATTGTGACTAGCTGGGCTTCAAGCACTGATCCCTGCTGTAACCCACTAGTCACTGCATGCCACTTGGAAAAAACATGTATTCATTATTGTCTGCCAACCAGTTCTCTATCCATGTCATTACACTATCCCCAATCTCATTTGCTTCAGTTTTATATGCTAATCTTTTATGTGGGACCTCATTAAAAGCCTTCTGAAAGTCCAAGTAAACCACATCCACTGGCTCCCCCTTATCAACTGTACTAATTACATCTTCCAAAAAAAATTCCAGCCGATTTGTAAAGCATGATTTCTCTTTCATAAGTCCATACTGACTGTCCAATGCTGTTATTGTTGCCTAAATGGTTTGCTATTAAATATTCTAGAATCATAGAATCCCTACAGTACGGATAGAGGCCATTTGGCCCATTTGGGTCTGCACCAATCCACTGTACAGCATCCCATCCAGAACCCACCCCACCACCCATTAATCCACCTAGCCTCAACATCTTTCCACACCACAGGGCAATTTAGATACTCAATCCCCATAACCCGCACATCTTCAGATTGTGGAAGGAAACGGGAGCACCTGGTGGAAACCCACGCAAGACACTGGGACATTGTGCAAACTCCACGCAGACAGTCACCCAAGCTGGAACCAAACCTGGGTCCCTGATGCTGTGAAGCAACAGTGCTAACCATTTACAGGAGACCCTAGAATTTTCTCCACTACCAATGTTAGGCTAACTGCTCTAAATTCTCTGTTTTCTCTCTATCTCTTTTTTTAAAATAGTAGGCCACATTAGCTACCTCCGATCTATAGGAACTGGCCCAGAGTCTATAAAATCCAGGCTACAATATGATATTGATCAGCTGGTAAATTGGGCAGAGCAAGGGCAAATAGAATTCAATCTTGATAAGTGCAAGGTGATGCATTTTGCGTGGGTCTAATAAGGGAAGGATATACACAATGAATGGTGCCTAGGGAGAGCTGAGGAACAAAGGGACCTTGGTATGCAAGTCTGTTGATCCCTGAAGGTGTCAGCACAGGTAGACAGGGTTGTGCAGTAGGCATTTGGGATGTTTGCCTTCAATAGCCAGGATGTACAATATAGGAGCAAGGAAGTCTTGTCACAACTTTGTAAAATATTGGTTAGGCCACAGATGAAATACTATGTGCAGTTCTGATCACCACACAATCGGAAGGACATGATTGCACTAGAGAAGGTGCAGAGGAGATTCACCAGGCTGTTGCCTGGGATAGGAACTCTCAGTTATGAGACAAAACTGGATCGGTTTGTGTTTCCTGGACCAGAGGAGGCTGAGGGCGGTATCTGATTGAGAGGCATAGACAGGGTAGATTGTGAGAATCTTTAACCCATAGCAGACATGTCTAAGACTAGAGGCCTACGTTCAAAGTGAGGAGTAAGTGATTTAGAGAAGTCTGCGAAAAATGTTTTCACCCAGCAGGTGGTGGAAATATGGAACTTGCTGCCTGAAATGGTGGTGGAGGCAGATACTCTCACAATATTTAAGAAGCATTTAGACAAGCACTTAAAATGCCAGAGTTATGGATCAAATTCAGATAAATGAGATTGGTGTAATTTGGTGTTTGTTAGTCATCATATGTGGGCCGAAGGGACTGTTTCTATGCTGCATGGATCTATAAAAATGACCACCAATGCATCCACTATTTCCAGGGCCACTTCCTTACGCACTCTGGGATGTAGATTATTGTGTCTGGGGATTTATGTGCCTTCAATCCCATCAATTTCCCCAACATCATTTCCCTATTAATACTGATTTCCTTTGGTTCCTGTCTCCCTCTAGATGTTGTGCTCCCAATATTTTTAGGATGTTATTTGTGTCCTCCTTTGAGAAAGCAGAACCAAAATATGTACTTTATTGGTCTGCCGTCTCTTTTCACTCCATTATAAATTCCCCTGTTTCTGACTAAGGGACCTACATTTATCTTCACTAATCTTTTTCTCTTCACATACCTGCAGAAGCTTTTACAATTCATTTGTATGTTCCCTGGAAGCTTACTCCCATACTTCCTTTTGGCCCTCTTAATCTATCTCTTTGTTCTCCTTTGCTGAAATCTAAACTGCTGCCAACCCTCAGGTCTGCTGCTTTTTTGGCCAATTTGTATGCCCTTCCTTGGATCTAATACCATGCCTAATTTCCCTTGTTAGCCATGATTGTGCCATCTTTCCTTTGTTTTTGTTTTTGCGCCAGACAGGAATGAACAATTGTTGCAGCTCATTCAAACACTTACTAAATCTTCGCCATTTTTCATTGCATCATCCATTTAAGTAGCTTTCTCCAATTTATCATAGCCAATTCGCATCTCATATCATTGTAGTTTCCTCTATTTAGATTCAGAACCAACGATGTCACCCTCCATTTTAGTGAAGAATTCTTTTGTACTTTGATCACACTTCCCCAAGAGGCCTCGCGTTGCTAAGTTACCATTGTTCCTTTCTCACTGTGCAATTAATTAGTCTATGATGGCTGTTCTCTAGTTAGTTCCTCAACATATTAATCCAGAAAACCACCATGTGCACATACCACAAGTTCCTCCTCTACAGTATTGTTACTGATTTAAGTTGCCCAATCTATTGGAAATTAAAGTCACCCATAATTACAACTGTTCATTTGTTGCTTATGTCTCTAATTTCCTGTTTAATGCCTTCCCCATTACAGTTTGAGATCGGTGCAAAACTCCCACAATCATTTTCTGCCCACTGTTGTTTCAAAGTTCTACCCATATAGATTCTACTTCACCAGAGCTAATATTTTTCCTCACTATTTCATTATGTCTTCTTTAACCAGAAATGTTATTCCACCTCTTTTACTTTGTCTGTCCTTCCATAAAAATGAATACCCTAGGATATACTGACTCCATCCCTGATCATTCTGAAGCCATGTCTCCTTAAATCTCAACTATATCATGTTCACCTCATATTTATTTGTGTGACTAATTCATCCACTTTATTGCAAAATACTCTGATGACCTGTGTCTGATTTCCTGGGCTTGACCTTCACTGACAAGTTTCTTTCTTGAATCGGTGCATAAGCATGAATATTAAATGTTGAATAATTCCCTTGCACATTGACAGTTGTCATGTTCCACAAACTGGCTGGAGCTTGTATAAAGCAGCTCTCATCTGTTGTGCCAGTCTACATTATTTCCATAGTCACAGTGGTGTGCCACCCTCATGACCTCCCAGCAAGGAGATACCTTTGTGGTGAATGTGGAGTGGGGCAGATGCAGCTATTGTGCTGAATTTTGCTTGCCCAGCACTTTTCAAACCTGGGTGCTTGCTCCGAGTGTAAGATCACAGAATCTACCCAATAATCAAAGGCTAGAAAATTGCTCATCTCCAGCTAATGGGAATCTGGAATCATTCTATAGCAGAGCACAAGAATAGTGACTCAATTATCTCATTACACTCCTTTCTCTCTTCCCTGGGATCACTGTACAAAATGCTTCAATTATACAGTGTAAAGATCTTGAAATGTACCGACTTGAAGGAGATATCCAGGAATATGGGCAGGACTGGGATAAAGATCTGAAGAAGATAAAGATGGAAGATCTGAATGGCTTCCCCCTGTGCTATGCCACTCCGTGAAAGAATGTTTGTTGGAGTAATCTTTGTGTGATTATTGATAGTTTCTCTGCTGACTGCCCAGTGACCAGCATTAAATTATCCTATCAACAATTTCGTAATAATCGTTGTCTTTTCCTCTGGTCAATGGGTTTTGGGTCTCTGCTTCAATCAGTCACCCTGTGGAAATTCTGCACAAACCTTGTTGATGTGTAAATAGAGCACTTCAACAAAAATTTCATTCGCCAAATACAAAACCTTTTGAAGAATTTTTTGGTTTTAAAATATAGGTTTCATGCATGGGAGTTGCAACGTTATTCTTTCTCACCATGACAACACTGTACTTTGATAGCTTTGAGCCTGTCCAACCTCTCAGTCTCAGTCTTAGCACAGTGAGTGATCGTTCACAGCTCAAGGTGTGAACAAAGGCTGGTCCCATTCACTCGTGCAGAATGATCTTGACTAAGGATCTTTCATTTTTTCTCAGATAGCTGGATCTGAAAGCAATTTTAAAATTGATGTGTTATCATTTCCTGACAACGTTTCTGTAAAAATTCTAATAGAATCTTGTGTACATCATTATATGTTACTGTTTTTTTTATAACTAGTTGGAATTTGATTATTGGTTGGCAAGAGAACATCTTTTGAGGAAACCTGAGCACAGGCTGAATCTAACCAGAAATCAGCTAACCCTCATTTTTGTCAAGTTTCATTTCTTTCTGTGAGGCTAACCAAGTTTTCTCATGTGATTGTTCCAAACTTGCCTCATTAATTGGGTCTCATGGCCATGTGGCACTCTGCAGTGATGCCACCCTGATTCTCCTGCTTGCTGTTGTTGGAAGTGCTTGCAACTGCTGGCATCCCTGGTACAACGAGTGACCAGACCTCAAACTGGTGAGGGTGACGCTGGCTAGGCAGCATTTATTGCCCAGACAGCAGTTTAAAGTCAATCATATTGCTGTGGGTCAGGAGTCACATGTAGACCAGACCAGGTAAGGATGGCAGTTTCCTTCCTTAAATTAGTGAACCAGATGGGTTTTTCTTGACAATTGATTCATGGTCATCATTAGATTCTTAATTCCAAATATTTATTGAATTCAAATTTCACCATCTGCCGTGGCAGGATTCGAACCCGGGTCCCCTGTGTATCTAGATTAACAATCCAGCGATAATACCACTAGGCCATTGCCTCCCCGATCTTTCTGGCACCCCTTTGATCACAGCCTGACAACCTTTGAATGGCCTATTTATTCGTATTCTCTGCTTTTTGCCTGTTAACTAACCCTCAATGCATGATAGTATATTAACCACAATCGCATGCACGTTAGTTTTGTTGACTGACATCATGTATGGAACTTTATCAGAAGCCTTCTGAAAATCCACATACACAACATCCATTGGATACGCCTTATTAACTTTGCTAGTAACATCCTAAAAAAAGAACCCTATTCAGATTTGTGAAACTGATTGTCCTTTAATAAATCCACATTGACTCTATCCTATGACAAAATTATTTTTTTAAGTATCCAGCCATCATGTATTTCATATTAGGCTGTAGTACTTTCTGTACCGGTGACGTCAGGTTACTACTGACCGCTGTGCTTGGTACCTGGTTCCTTTAGATCCTGCAGTTTCAGATTACTGAATGAGTAGTAAGTAGGTCATCAGCAGTGTCACTCTGTTGGGCTCCAGATCATGCCTCCTCCTCCACCACCTTCCACCCTCATCCCAGGAAGATGAACCAAGCCATTAGGCAGAGAATAAATTTAAGTATTACTGACTTAGGAATGAGGCACATTGGCAGAGGTGGAGATAGGACTTTACCCTTGGTTCTTTTCATCTCTGGAATATTTAAATTGCCAGAAATGTGCCATAAGGATTCTTTCTTGGCTCAGCTCTTCAGTAACAGGAACTGTTTTAATCTGTCACCAGCTGTCAGAGTTACAAAAAGACTTATACTTCTCACGAATGGAAGAAGCCAATCAAACAGAAATGGTGAACAATTACAGACATGTTCAGGAGCTTTGGGAGCGGGAAGTGCTCATCTCATTCCACGAAGGTGAGTGCTGTAGTTCTGCACCTGGCCTGAGTCACCCAGCAGCCTGATTGGATTGTTTGTCATTTATATATATGATTTAGATAAGAATATAGAAAGCATAGTTAGTAAGTTTGCAGATGAAACCAAGATTGGTGGTATAGTGGACAGTGAAAGAAGGTTATCTAAGATTACAAAACGATCTTAATCCATTGGGTCAATGGGCAGAAGAATGGCAGAAGGAGTTTAATTTGGATAAAGGCGAGATATTACATTTTAGTAAAAACAGACAAAGGCAAGACTTTTATAGAATTAAGAGTAGGGCTTTGCATAGTGTTGTAGAACAGAGAGCCCTAGGTGTTCAGGTACACCATTCTTTGAAGGTTGCATCACATATAGACAGGGTGATTGGAAAGGCATTGGGACATTATGTTGAGGTTGTGCAAGGAGTTGGTGAGGCCTCTTCTGGAGTACTGCGGACAGTTCAGCCCTCACTGCTATAACAAGAATATTATTAAGATGAAGAGGGTTCAAAAGAGATTTATGAGGATATTGCCAGAAATAGAGGGTTTGAGTTCTAAGGAGAGGCTGGATAGGCTGGGACTTTTTTCACTGGAGCGTAGGAGTTTGAGAGGTGACCTTATAGAGGTTTATAAAATCATGAGGGGTATACATAAAGTGAATGGCAGTATCTTTTCCCTAGGGTGGCGGATTTCAAGGCTAGTGGAGTATATTTTTAAGATTAGAGGAGAAAGATTTAAAAAAGACATGGGTGACAATTTTTTTACACTGGTTCGTGTGTGGAATGAATTTCCAGAGGAAGTGGTGGATGTGGGTACAAGTTACAACGTTTAAAAGACCTTTAGATGAGTCCATAGACAGCAAATGTTTGGCGGCATATGGTCAAGCGCATGCAGGTGGGACTAGTTTTGTTTGAAATTATGGTCAGCATGGACTAGTTGGACTGAAGGGTCTGTTTCCATGCTGTATGACACCACGACTAAGTGGTGATTTAAATCTAAAAAATTACCACCAATTAAATTGTGAAAGCTGGAGTCACAGGTACAAACAAATATAGATAAAAGGGCAACTAACTGGGGCTTATTTTGACTTTGTACAGTAATGTAATCTGAACTGTATCAGGTATCTCCCCTGCTCATTAACTCCCAATGTTGCTCCTGCCAAATCAATAACTCTCAGAATGGACTTTGAGAAAATGGTGTAATTATTGGAATAGATATTGCAAAGGAGAGAATTGAGGATTATTCTAGATGGATGGCTCCATGTTTATTATGACCCCCCCGCCCCCTTGCAACCACCATCACCGCCACCATTCCAAATTTTCTAAGAGGAAATCTTTAAAGTTCTCAAAGACTCGTTTCACTACAGGAACGGAATCAGCTCTAACTGACGCAATTCCTGGCAGTTCACAGCAGCAGGAGGAGGGATTGAGAATTCCTCAGTGGATTGTAGTTGTGCAGTGCATTTTTTCGAAGAGTGCATATAGGAAACTTTGACATTTCACATTTTGGATTGTACCTGTGGTTTGATAGATATTGTCTTGCCTCAAAATCAGAGATGTGTAGTTTAAATTTCACTGTAGGGCCTTGAGAGTACAATATCAGCTGACAGTGCAGTCCCACCCTGACAGTGTGCCGGACTGTCGAAGATACTGTCTTTCAGGTAAGATGTTAAACCTGACTGTGCAGGAGGATGGGAAATGTCCCAGTGCAATTTAAAGAGAACTCTCTCAATATTCTGGTCAAGTTTCATTCCTAGACATCCACGTCATTACAGCAAGTTTGTTTTAACCATTGTTCTTGATAAACCACCAATAATTATGTACCTCAAATATCACGGTTTACTGTATAATTCTATCCAATTATTGTAGATTTTTAAAATTTATTTACCTCAACATAAATATGCTTTTTCAATCGAACGGCCACAAAAAATGTCAACACTTGATTTAATTTCGAGTCAGTTTCTCCTCAAATATCACAATCTCTGTGATGTCTGTGTGGTCAGTTGAGGGTGTGAGTGAGAAGGCTCTCTGCCGGTAACTTTATTTAAGGCAAAGTTGCCTTATTGTTTAAGTGATTTATGCCATAAATAGAGTATAACAGTGATGCATATGCCCCCTACTTGGTGTGTGTTTTTATGTGGATTATGTGGACCTCTTGGTTATCGGGAATACTGGATCAATTGGCATACTCCTGGTCTCATAGGTGCTTATTAATAAAAAGTTTACTGTATAAACATATTATCTGATTCTGATCACATTTGTCAGAGTTTGCTGTGTACAAATTGGCAGCTGTCTTTCCTACGTTGCAGCAGCAACTACACAAGAAAACAGTGCTTCCTTGGTATTAGGTGGGGCTGAGGGTTAGGGCTGTGTGCTAAATGCTTCCCCATCAATGCTCCCAGACATTAATCAGCATCTCGTAAACTGAATCAAGTCAATGTGATTATTATTCCAGTAACAGAGAATTTATCCATTGGCTTTGTAAGGCTAGCCTCTTGTGATGCGTTGGTGGTGACCCTGTCACTGGACCAGGAGACCTGGGTTCAAGTCTCAGCTGCTGAAGAGAGTAACATCTCTGAACAGTCTGATATAGAAAATAGTTGGACAGTGAGTCATGTATTATTTGGAAGAGGAAGATTGTGTACGTGAGGGAACAGCAGTGACAACTGATGCAAATTGCATACACGCATAGACAGGACTGAATTGGCTCACTTTCAAAAAAAGATTGTCAGGGCTCACAGTTCTTACACCCTGATGCAAAGCATGAAAATAACCCAACGTAGGAGCATGGACAAGGCCAAAATTTTCCCAAAATGATGGGAGGAGCTGGTTCCATGGCTGCATTCTACCTCTGGGCCATTTATGAGGGATCAGCAAAACTGTTGGGCTCATTTAAATCGTAATTCAGGGAAATTAAAGGACACCAGTGTGGTGCATTTTAAATCATGGGTTCATAAGAAATCGGAGCAAGGGTGGACCATTCAGTCCCTCCATCTTGCTCTAGCATTCGATAAAAGACCATGGCTGACCTGTTTGTGGTTGTTACGCCTCGTTCCTTCCTTTTTCCATAATCCTTGATTCTCCTGACAATCAAAAATCTGTTTAACTCGCCCTTGAAGATCACCCTGCCTCCACCGCTTTCTGGGCAGCAGCCGTTAAAGATTAATGACACCCTCAGAGTAGAAATTCCTCCTATTCCCCATCATAATGGGCAAGCCCTTATTTAAAACAGTGCCCAATAGGTTTAGGCTGTGTTTTAGAGGAAACATCTTCTCAAACTCTTACCCTGACAAAGCCAATCAGAATCTTTTTGTTTCAGTAAGTAATAAAGGTTTAAGACAGGGATGAGGAGGAAATTTTTCTCTGATGATCGTCAACATTTGGAACTCTTTTTTTTCCCAGACTGCAGTGTCATTGAATGTGTTGAAAGCTGGTTTAGACAGGTTTTTGATTGATGAGGGCCTAAGTGGGATAAGAGCAAAACTGGATCAGTCGTAATCTTATGGAATGGTAGGGCCAGCCCAAGGGGCAGACTGGGCTATTTCTATTCCTTGTTCTTATATTCCACCGTTTGCTGGACAGAGAACGTACCTCCATGACATTAAAGTGGATGCTCCTGCCAACATTCCATTGCCTGACTGTTTTTCCCATCTTCCCATTGGAGAAGGTTTGGAACCTGGAAACAATCCATACTTCAGTTTTCTGAGCTCAGAGTTCCAAAGGTCAGGGTTCTTTTCTTTGAATGTTGAGGTTATTTTTGAAATTATGATGCTATTGTACCATCAGAAAGGCAGTAACCAATTTTTTCACTGTAAGTCTCCGCAAACAGATGATGAGCAGCTAATCTGAGTTTGTGATAGTGGCTGCGCGTAAATATTATGCAGATCACCAGGAGAACATCCTTCTTTTCAAACCACTGGTGAAATCTTTAATGCAGGGGGCCTTGGTTTAATATTGCATCGCCTCCCGCAGTGTAGCACTCACTTTGTGCTGAGCATGTTGGGTGCATAAGGTTGCAGCTGGACTTGTAACCAAAACCTGAACGGGTTGATATAGAAAATAGTTGGACAGTGAGTCATGTATTATTTGGAAGAGGAAGATTGTGTACGTGAGGGAACAGCAGTGACAACTGATGCAAATTGCATACACGCATAGACAGGACTGAACTGGCTCACTTTCAAAAAAAGATTGTCAGGGCTCACAGGTCTTACACCCTGATGCAAAGCATGAAAATAACCCAACGTAGGAGCATGGACAAGGCCAAAATTTTCCCGAAATGATGGGAGGAGCTGGTTCCATGGCTGCATCCTACATCTGGGCCATTTATGAGGGATCAGCAAAACTGTTGGGCTCATTTAAATCGTAATTCAGGGAAATTAAAGGACACCAGTGTGGTGCATTTTAAATCATGGGCTCATAAGAAATCAGAGCAGGAGTGGACCATTCAGTCCCTCCATCTTGCTCTAGCATTCGATAAAAGACCATGGCTGACCTGTTTGTGGTTGTTACGCCTCGTTCCTTCCTTTTTCCATAATCCTTGATTCTCCTGACAATCAAAAATCTGTTTAACTCGCCCTTGAAGATCACCCTGCCTCCACCGCTTTCTGGGCAGCAAGCATTAAAGATTAATGACACCCTCAGAGTAGAAATTCTGCCTCTTCCCCATCTTAATGGGAGAGCCCTTATTTAAAACAGTGCCCAATAGGTTTAGGCTGAGTTTTTTTAATTCATTAACAGGATGAGAGCATCGCTTGCCAGGCAGTATTTATTGCCCATCCCTAATTGCCCAGATGGCAGTTCAGAGTCAACCACATTGCTGTGGGTCTGGAGTCACATGTAAGCCAGACCAGGTAAGGATGGCAGTTTCCTTCCCTAAAGGACATTCGTAAACCAGATGGGTTTTTCTGACAATTGACAATGGGTTCATGGTTATCATTAGATTCTTAATTCCAGATATTTATTGAATTAAAATTCCACCATATGCTGTGGCAGGATTCAAACCCACGTCCCCAGAACATTATCTGGGTCTCTGGAGTAACAGTCCAGCAATAATACCACTAGGCCATTGCCTCCCCAATAATAATTTAGAGGAAACATCTTCTCAAACTCTTACCCTGACAAAGCCACTCCGAATCTTTTTGTTTCGATAAGAAATAAAGGTTTAAGACAGGGATGAGGAGGAAATTTTTCTCTGATGATCGTCAATATTTGGAACTCTTTTTTTCACCAGAGTGCAGTGTCATTGAATATGTTGAAAGCTGGCTTAGACAGGTTTTTGATTGATAAGGGCCTAAGTGGGATAAGAGCAAAACTGGATCAGTCGTGATCTTATGGAATGGTAGGGCCAGCCCAAGGGGCCGACCGGGCTAATTGCTGGACAGAGAACGTACCTCCATGACATTAAAGTGGATGCTCCTGCCAACATTCCATTGCCTGACTGTTTATCCCATCTTTCACTTGGTGCAGGTTTGGAACCTGGAAACAATCCATACTTCAGTTTTCTGAGCTCAGAGGTCCAAAGGTCAGGGTTTTTTTCTTTGAGTGTTGAGGTTACTTTTGAAATTATGATACTGATGTACTGCTGTAACATATAATTTTCCATAAACTGATAAAAGGCAGTCAATCTGAATTTGTGATATTAGCTGCACATAAATATTATGCAGGTCACCAGGAGAGCCTCCTTCTTTTCAAACCAGTGGTGAAATCTTTGGTGCAGAGGGCTTGCTTTAATATCTCATCATCTTCCACAGTGTAGTTCTCACTTTGTGCTGAACATGTTGGGTACATAAGTCTTCAGCTGGACCAAAACCTTCTGACTCTGAGGTGAGAGTGCTTCTTATTGAGACATGGCTGCACGCGCAACCACAAACATTTCATCACAATTTTCCCCTTTAAAAGAGAAGTGATTTGAAACCTGGTGAGAGACTAGTCTTGCTGAGGAAACCTCTTTGCTATGATGAATTCATGTGGGAGAGGCTGATTACAGGGTGGGGAGACACTGGTGGAGTGGATGATTGTGGCTCATGTAAGTGGATCAGGTTATGGTTCAATTAAGAAACTGAATTCAGTGAATGTGGTAATTTTTGAGTTATAGAGTAGAGGAGTGAGCATGGAACCTATGGAATTGCCATAAGGACCAAAGCTGGTTCACTAGTGTCTCCAGGAAGAGGAGACTGTCTTATCCAAGCTATCATTGGCACTACTCCACTCTTGAGATTGTGGAATGAAGAATAAGTGCTGTTTCGTCAATATTAGTCACAACTCAGGAACAAATAAACCATTTGTAGTACAGAAATGTCGGATTACCACTGAGTAGAGCAGTTCACTACAATAATCCAGGAAATATAGTGGCTGATTACACAGGAAGGCTTTGTTGCATTAAGTAATGGGACCTATAAAAGTTTTTGAAGAACACTTAGTGATCTTACACAACCATGCCCAGTCTGTAAGGAAAACCCAACTTGGGCAAAAAATTCTATTAGTGTTTCCAGATTGGAAACAGGGGTCTGAGTAGTAGGATTTGGACAGGGGGTTGGTGTGTGTTGGGGGGAGAGGGGGGGTCAGGGGTTCGTGTGAGCATTTGAGTTTCAGTTGTTTTGTGTTATGTCTCCCCTTAAGTGTGTATATGTTCATACTATCATCACAGTCATATCATGCAACCTGTATGTATAAAGGTCTCAGACTCCATCTTAACTGGGTCTGAACTGAAGCATGACACATTTAGAGAAGGTGTCCTATGCTTTTTAATCAAATAGCTTAATATTCCTCCAGACACACAAATGGCTGTTACTATATGTGTGTGTCAGGAGTAAACATCTGTTTAACCTTTCAATGTCATGTTACCCACGTTAGTTCTTATCTTAGGGGAGCTAACATGAGCTTTGCTACCTCAATACAAATACCTGCTGGAGGCAAAGCCTACACAATTCTGGCACATTGAGTTGTATAGTTACCCAGAAGGTGGACTAGTGGTTTTTTCTACCTGACATTCCCTGAGTAACTATTCAAGTAAGTGTGTTGAAACTGTCTGGAATCTTCAACCCTAGACTGGGAGACTTGGAGAGATTTAGGGAGTTATCCATCCAGAAGATCATATGAAATAGGAACAGGAGTAGGCCATTCAATAAGATCACGGCTGATCCAATATTCCTTATGTCCACTTTTCTGTCCTTTCCCTGCAACTCTTGATTCCCCCACTGATTGAGAATCTATCTATCTCAGCCTTAAATATACACAAGGACTCTGCCCTCACTGCTCTCTGTGGCATGGAGTTCCAAAGACTCGTATTTCAGTCTTAAATTTGTGTCCCTTTATTCTGAGCCTATGTCCTCTGCTCCTAGATTCCCCCAGGAAGGGAAGCATCCTCTCAGTATTTACCCTGTCAAGCCCCTTTAAGAATCCTGTATGTTTCAATGAGATTACCTCTTATTCTTCTAAATTCTAGTGAGTAGAGTCCCAATCTGTTAAACTTTGCTCGTGAGACATCCGTCCATATCGGGATCATCCTAGTGAACCTTTTCTGAACTGCCTCCAATGAAATAATATCTTTCCTTAAAAAAGGGAACCAAAACTGCTCACCGTGTTCCAGATGTGGACTCACCAGCACCTTGTACAGTTGTAGTAAGACTTCCCTGCCCTTATACTCCAACCTCCTTGAAATAAGGGCCAACATTCCATTAGTCTGCTGCACCTGTGTGCTAGCTTTGTGTTTCATGTACAAGCACCCCTAAGTCTCTTTGTGTTGCAACTTTCAGCATTTCTCCATTTAAATAACACTTCTTTTCTTATCCCTTCCAAAATGAACAACTTCATATTTCCCCACATCATATTCCGTTTGCCAAACTTTTGCTCACTTACTTAACATGTCAACATCTCTTTGTAAACTATTTGTATCCTCTCACAACCTGCCTTTCCAACTTTTTTGTGTTGTCTGCAAATGTGGCTGCGGTACATTCACTTCCTTCCTCCAAGTCATTTAATATATATTGTAAACAGTTGCAGTCCCAGCACTAATCCCTGTGGAACCCCATTGGTTAGAGGTAAACAACGTGAAAAAGAATCCTGTATCGCTGTTTCCTGCCCATTAGCCAATTCTCTATTCATGCCAATATATTACCTCCAACACCATGGCTCTTATCTTATGATTTAACCTTTTGTAAGGTACCTTGAGGAACACCTCTGGAAGTCCAAATATAATACATCTACTGGTTCCACTCTGTTTGAGACTTCCTCAAAAATCTCTAATAAATCAGTCAGACATGATTTCCCTTTCATGAAGCCATGCTGACTCTGCTTGGTTAAATTATGATTATCCAAATGTGCAGCTATTACATTCTTAATAATTGATTCCAAAATTTTTCCAACATTAGTTGTTAGACTAATCAGCCTCTCCTTCCTTTTTGAATAGGCGTGTCACGTTGGCAAATTTCCAATCCTCTGGTACTTCCCCCAGAATCCAGGGATTTTTTGGAAAGTTACAGCCAATGCATCCACTAGATCTGTAGCTACTTTTTTTAGGATCTTCGGATGCAAACCATCAGAATCAGGGAGCTTATCTACCTTTAGCCCTATTAGTTTATCTAATAATATCATCAGAAGTTCAGACTTCCTGGACATTTCCCAGGGAGTCCTTGCATTGGAACTACCAGGGGGTCTCATAGTGTATCTTGGCAGTTATGTTCAGTATCTGACCATTCAGAAATTGGAAGTTCTGGGCCAAAGTGTTTAAGACCTCTCATGATAACATAAACTGTTTCAGTGATCCAGGCACCCAGTGAATGGCTAAATAAAAACCAAAAGAACTGTGGATGTTGTAAATCAGGAAC